GGTGGTTTTAAACTGCTGACCGTGGGCTTCGCCGCAGCCCGACAGATAAGCACTAGGACACAGGGCTCCTGGGGTCTGCTGTGCGGAAGCAGATATGCCAGGTGGTGCTTAAGGAGCAGGGGTCCTCCCAGCCCACTCCCCTGGGAGCCGGTTTGCCTGCCCCACCCTCCCCTCAGCTGCCCCACCTGCAGACAGCGTCCTGGAGCTCCTGTGTGAAGAGACACTTTGGGATGCTGTTCAGGTAGCAGGTGGCACCCTGGTTGATCAGACCTGCGTACCCTGCAGAGAGGACCACAGGGTGGGGTCAGCTGGAGGCTCAGATAGATGAGGTTGGTCAGGGGCAAGCCTGGTGATGGGGGCCTAGGACCAGGAGGGAGCATAAGGGTATCTCCGTGCCCTCTCTAGCTGCTGAACCCCAGTCTAGACTGGCCCCTTGGTCAGGAGACTCACCTGGGTGCAGGACTCTGTTCTTGTGGTGACTTTGAACCTGATCTTTTTGTCCAGTGTTCCTCTGTCTGGATGCCTCCCAATGTTCCCTTGAGCGGCCCTTCTGAGAACCTGCCTGCCCCTTCTTCTCATGGTGCTGGTAGAGGGAGCAGAAGCAGCACCCCGGGTCTCCCTGGAAGGACAGCCTTTGTACATCACAGTTTGGGCCTTCGATGGTCCTCCCAGTGGGCTGGATGGTCAGCCCGCAGCTGGCCTCCGAATTAGAGTCTCCGTTGGAGCTGGCCTCCTGCATCTTCCACCCCTTCAAGCCTGCACTGGCTGCCTGCTTTCTTTCCTGGAATGGGAGGGATCTATAGTCCCAGAGCACTGGCTCCTCCCCTGGGCCCCAGGAGTCAAGGCTGGGAGTGGCCCTGCCTGTGAGAGCCAGCCCCCCACAGCCCCGCCTCCACTGGCTTACCAGGAGGAAGAGGTTCAGGGGAGCAGCACATCCAGGGTCAAGCCAGGGCCTCCAGCCCTTCCTGGGGGCAGAGAACAGGGGCCCTTACTGGCTTCTCTGCCTCCTCCTGATCCCCATATGGGCAGCCCCCAAGGCCAGGCTGCCTAGGGAGACCCCTTGGAGGGGACCTTTAGCAAGTCCTGCCTTCTCTCCTAGGACATTTTTGGTGCAGTGGGGGCCAGGTACAGCCCTTCTGCCCCCTTGCCTGGCTGCCCAGTGCCACCTGCTGGGCACAGGCAGGGACAGCCTGAAGGCTCCTCTGTCAGCACCAGGGGGTCCCAGCTGACTGGCAGCCCAGCTGGGCAGCAGGCAGGGCCTGGCCAGGCAGACTTTCTCGCTGGTGAAAGGTCACTCGGGTCTCTGGTCCACGTTTCTGCTCAGCATTCGGCTTTGCTCCC